TGAGACTCAGCCAGTGTTTCTTTACATGCCTAGTTTCCATAGTTTATATTTCAGTTTAATACTACGCCAATATTAAGAGTAATATGCTTTTGTACGGAACGAAAATCGCTTTATCCGCGGGGCCATCAAAGGGGCAACTTGTTGATGACGTGAGGAACATCCGACCCGTGACGTCAAACATGGAGGTTGTGTGGGAGCAGGCTTCACTCTCCCTAAATGAAACCACCTGTGGCTACGCTCGGTAAATTGTTATAAAAGGGTTTGGGTGACATCAAACAGTTCGAGGAATTATCCGTATGGTGCGCCCGAAGCGTTCTGCCGGTTTGTTTAACCAGCTGAATTAAGGACGTTCGTTTTAAATACAAGTGAAAAAGCGTTCGGGGATCATCACGGGATCAGCAACAATTTTGAGTTGCTTCCCAAAAACAAAATTGAACATTTACTAAAATTATTTTGTGTCATGAACATTGCAGACTTTAATCATACTCGCCAACCATTCCACTATTTTCTTGGTGGTACTGAATAAACCTAACACAAACCTCAAAAGAAGTAGACCTCTCCAAGTTGAGGTTTAAATTTATCTCCATAATATAAATTATCAGTTCTAATCGTCTCATTATAAGCGGTGATTTCTGCAATTAATTCAGGGACAGATTATATAACTGTCCTTCTCCTTTACTCATTCGCTGAGGCAAAAGATAGTTATTTCCCAAACTAGGATCAGTGGGGGAACAAGGATTACCTAAGGGTTGACGTGGTCGTATCTGACGGGAGGTCGCAACGTCGGGGAGAGGAGACGGTACTTCGAAAGTCATCGGGTTTAATGTTGATATTTTGTTTATGTAAATCCAAACAAACAAAAAACCACAATATACACTTTCACTCTGAAATACCGATCCTAGGATACACAAGTCCCACAATATGGACTACGGCTACTGGATACGGGTGCTTAGTCTAATCGCAGAAGGCCCTCCGCCCCCGCCCCTGCAAGTGCCTTGCTCTATCTTCCAGATCCCTTCCTAAATTTTTATGTTGGTTTGGGATCGTCCACAGATGATTGGCGGATTCCAATCAGGCTCTTCTAATTATGATGCCTCACTGTCCAGAGAATGTCTGTGATTTGCTGGTCTGTTCAAATTTGGATTATGGTCAGTTAGGACAAATAACGCCATGGATATGTCCCTTATGCCCATTCATACTCAAACCAACGCGATGCCAAACAGTTACTGGGAGTTCAAAACAAATGGCAGGTCACGATCCATGCGCGTCTCTGTTTGACTCTCTTGAGTTTCCTCCAGGCCCCCTAAACAATATCCTGACGCTTTTAGTGCAGACAGACAGACAGACAAAAAAAACCCGTCAAGTAGCCTGGCCGCCCTGCAAACTGCTACATTATTTCCCCTGTAGGACGTCGACCCTTCCTCACCATCCCACTCGAGTCAATCAACAGCCACTTGGACAAAGAAATTCGAAATGGGGTAATATCGGACTAATGCTGTGACATTAACTTCGCCGAGCTCGAGTTCGAACCGGGTGCTCTTGATTGCTAGGGGCTCTGGACTGGTATAATTAAATATATTTCTAGTGGATTAATCACAAAATCTCTGACAAACATCTGTCAG